CAGGGTTTCAGATCTAAGAATAAAGGTACCCGAACTGTCCTTGTTGATGCCCCCTTGGGCTATCAAACCCTCAATCCTAGTCCATTATAGACTTTAAACGAATCGAGTTCAATTCGAGGGGACACATTTCTCTATGCCTGACACGGAGAATAAATTCTCACGAAGACATAGAGCATATAAACCCCGAAAGTTACTTGCTAGGTCTGACACGGAGAATAAATTCTCACGAAGACGTCGCTTTCACTCCCACTTAAAAGGGACAAACTCAATTATAGAGCTTTATGTTATGCAATGCAAGTGTTGTGTGTGAGGAGAAATGTTCAAACCTCTGACAGAAAAATAAATAATGAAATAAAATACTTGCAAATAAAATATCAATAAGAAAATATATAAATACTATAAAAATAATAAGTATATAAAAAAATTTGAAAAGAAATAATTATAAATTAAATATATTAATTTTAATTTTATAATTAATAGAGACAATTAATAATTGATTTTAAAGTTTGACCAATCCCCAGCGTAGTCGCCAAGCTGTCGTAACCGGTTTTCGTCCGGGCACGAAATATTTACTTGATGGGAAAAGTGATGTGAATAAATGGTTTTGAAAATAATTTGGGAGTCGCCATCGGCCTTTTGGGTTAGGTAGGTCGAATACCTAAAAAATATCTTTTAATAGAGTTTTTAAGAAAACATCAATTAAAAGATAAACTGATCTGCGTTTTAAACAAAAATTCATTCTTTTTAATAATAAAAAGGGATTCGTGGTCGGTTACGTTTAGGGAAGGATTAGCACCCCTACAACGCCCAAAATTGGTACTTTTTTAATATAAATTGTCTCTATTATTAAAAATTAAAAATTCAAAATATATTTAATTTATAATCCTATTATTTCAAAATTATAATTATGAGAAAAAAATAATTTATATATATTTATAAATAAATATTTATTTATTTAGAAATATCAGAAAAGGACTTCTAGGTGTTTTAAGACAGCTCTTTTCTTTAATATTGATAAATATTATTTTAAATAAAATTAAATAATAATTTTTTATAATATTTAATTTTAAAATACCAGAATAGGACATCCAGTTGTATTAAGACTGCCCTTTTCTTCGATATTGAAAAATAAATATTAAAATAATTTATTGAAAAAATATAAATTATTATTTATTATATATATATTTATGACTACATAATAATAATAAAAATATTTAAATGTATAAACAAGTAAAATTAAAATGATAAAAATATAATTAGAACTATATATTTAAAAGCAGTAAAATAAAAGAAAATTTTTAAAATTAGTGACTAAATTATAATAAAATTAAAATTAAAAACCTAATTTATAATTAATCAAAATTATAGGGATTAAACATGCTATTTCTTTATTTATTAATTTAGTGACTAAAATAAAATTATATAAAATTTGGATATTAGATTAAAATAAATTAAAACATACTATTCAGATTAAAATATTAATTATTTAAAATAACGGACTAAATCTGTTATTTACCCTAAATATATTATTTTAATATAAAGGACTAAAATAAATAAAATTAAAATTAAAGAACCGAATTAAAAGGATTATAAATCGATTTAGTGACTAAAATGTAAAGTTTACAAATTAGGATGACTACGGAAAGGATTTAACCTTTAAAAATTACACAAATAGCCATCCCCGAAACGACGTCGTTCGGGAAGGGCTATTTAAACCCGAAACCGGCTGGCCCTTCGGGCCAGCTCTCACATTTTTTTTTATTTCTCTCTCTAACTGAGAGAGAATTGAAATGCTCTCCCTTCTCTCTAGCTTCCCTCATCGAAGGGAAGCCGGTCACCGGGCGGCAGCCGTCTGCCGCCGCGATTCTCACCGTCGGCCACCACCTCCGGTGGTCAAAAAAATTTATTTTTACACCATTATGTAGATCGGACCGTCCTAATGACGGTTCCGGTGTTCCTTTCTTTTAAAAAGCTCCCAATCGGAGCAAATCTAAGAAAGTACCTTCGATTTCTGAAGGTTTTGGTGACGTTTGAAGAGGTCCGGTGGTCGTGGCTTCCTCGGTAAGCTTCTCTCCTCCCTTTTCTTTTGTTTTTGGTTGTTGGTTGTTGTGATTTGGTCTCTATTTTTGTATCTTTTGCTCTCGGTTTTGTCTCTCTGGGGTCTGTTGGCTCTCTTTTTCTTCTTTGCAGATGGGGTGATGTTTTTATAGCCATCACCGGTGTGGCCATCGGACCGGGTAAATGAGTGGAGTCTGGTGAGTCACCGGACTCCCAGTGGTGACTCACCCTAGGGCCATAACGTGGACGGCTGGCGTTGGAACTTCTGGAGCCTTCGGTTGGGGCGTGGCAGCGGCTGGTGCGACGTGGAGCGGCGGCAGCTGGCGTAGTCCCGAGGGTATCATGACCCTAGGGTTTCATCTGGAACCATCCGGACCGTTGGATCATAGCCAGATCCAACGGCTGTGATGCTGGGCGGCTGGCTGGGAAGAAAGAAACCCTAGTCTGTTAGGGTTATGCTGGATACGGGTTGGGCTTGTAAACGGGTCGGGTTTGTAAATGGGTCTCGATTTGGGTTTTGTAATATTAATAAATAATATATGTTAATAATAATAATAATAATAATTATAATAATAATAATAATAATAATAAATTTAAAAAAAATTGATGTCTACAGTACTCAAATGCTTGTGTGGTAGAATATGAGATGGATGATTATTTGCATATGTGTTTATATGTTATAGTGAATGTTACATAATATAGATATGTATATAAATTTATGAACTTATATGACTATGAAATATGAATGTGATATGTGCATATGGAGAAGACTAAGTGATATGAACTACGTAATCATATGAAAATAAGAACATGTGAAATGAAATATATGATAAGGAAACAGGGAACTCTATAAGAGTATTACAGGATATGTGATAAAGAGCTATAAGTTTATTCTTATGTGATAGAAATAAATAATAAATACAATAATAATGCTCATGTTATGTGATGTGATAACCATAGGTATAGTTGTCATGCCAAGAGTCGAGGGTTCATAGGTCTTTCGAGACATACAGAGATCCTTCGGGATATACATAGGTCCTTCGGTACAACTTTCACATTCCCCTAGTGGGACCCCATACGAGCTGTGGTGACAGCATAATGCACAACCTCAATGTACTCGCATACCTTAAGTTCTCAGCAATGTACATGGGCATATAAAAGATATGAAAAGAGTTTGTATGATTGTATTTTATCATGTTACCATTGCTTGCTTTGAATCACGTATGCACATGAATTAATAAGGAGATTAATAATGATCTACGCATATGTATTTATGTATTGATATGTAATTTGAGATGATTTTGTCTAAAAGGATCAAATGAAATAAGGTTGGATAATATGATGGAATATAGTATGCATATAATGTGACCTGTTATAAGTGTATTATATATTTTTGTATGCCTCACTAAGTCTGTGACTTAGCGTGTAAGTGATTTACACGTAGGTACAGAAAAACAAGAAGACCGGTCTTGGGGATCAGCAGAACAACATATCCTCATTTGAAGATCATAACAGAAGCACCTGACGTAGTATGTTGGTTTATATTTTATATGTGTTGACATGTAAATAGAGTCATATAGTATATACGCTTTGATCAAGGTGTGATGTTTTGAAGTGGTAATGTAAACATAGTTTTATATTCATGAAAGTTTTAAATTTAGGTTGGTTTTATAAATACACAAGCTTTGAAAAGTCAATGTGACACATCAGATTCGTATTCGGGTCAGGTACGGGTTTAGGGTGTTACACTATCAGTCAGGGACGTATTTAGGCCTAGGCCTACCTAGACCATGGCCCTCTATGCCCAAAAGGATAAAATACTTATTAAGTCACCCATTATTATTTAGGGGCACTCTTTTTCTTTTTCTTTTTTTACTATATGAAATTGAATTTTAATTTCGATTATGAAGGCTTTTAGCAAGACTCATTTACTTTTAAAACATGTAAATTTTAAATATTTTTATTAGACAAATCATTAATTATTTTTTGTTTAAGTATCAATTTTTCAAACATATTTTAATAAATTTAAAATTAATAGACTATTGTCTACGTTAAATTAATACTCATTAATATTATCTTAGATCTTTAACTTTTTTTAAAAATAGATAACATAGCAAGCCAGACCGATTTGAGTTTCTACATTATTGTTTAGTTTGTTATAATATGTTATAATATTTTATTATTTTATCAAATTAATATCACCTTATTGACTTCTTAGGAATTACATTTTGATATTCATGAATGTCACTTTATTACAAATTTTATCTTCATGTTCTATTGCTAGTTTGGGATGATTATAAAATTGTATATATTTAAAATATTTCTTAATTTATTGATAATGTACACATATTTTATAGATACAACAACTCGAATTTAGGTCTTCTAAGAAGAATAACATTCTCCTTTACCACTAAGATCACTCAAATCTCAATGGATTCTGAAAATCAATTAAGCTCTCGAACTCAATCAAATATTAATTAAATTCATCTATCACATCATCATTCATACGAAGATGGTAATTTTAACATTGAAAACCACCTTATCAACATAATTAATTTTCACATTAATATTGAAATGATCAATCAAACTTTCTATCAAAGGAGAACATTAACTCAATTGAAGGAATTCAAGAGTAAAATTAATGTAATTATACACAACAGACAATATTATTGATTTAGAACGATTACATCAATAAAATTATCATTCTTTAACATAATTTTACATAATTATAGATATTACATAATTTTAAGTTTAAATACATTTTAATTACAAATATATTTGCAATTTTACATATTTATAATTTATTTTTCGTAAACATAATATTAGAAATTTACATCCGATAAATAATGAAAGCATATTTCTAATTATAGTAAAATTTCTCATCCTCCTTATTTATAAATGCCTCCCTGCTTTCGTAAGCACAACATAAGTTAATTTTGTAGTTCATAAAGTAAAGAAAATGAAAGGCCCTTTGCCATCAACAGTCTTCATCGCTCTACTTTTTTCTGTAGCTGTTGCAAACTTCAATGCCGGTGTACTCAAAATTTATTGACAACCCTATATATGCATACATGATCTTGTCCAACACTCGTTAGACTGATTGATCTTGAGCTGTTATTATCCTTATTTGATCACGGACATTGTATTTTGATTATCGTAATGATCTTTGTTCTTCAATGCAGACTGATTGCGTTTACACACTATACGTAAAGACGGGTTGGATGATCAAAGCAGGAACTGACTCGAAGATCAGTGTAGTTCTAGGCGATTCATTCGGTCGATCGGTTTTGATTTCGGATCTGCGATCATGGGGTTTAATGTCGCCCGCCCACGACTACTATGAGCGTGGCAACCTCGACGTGTTCAGTGTGCGAGGCGGCTGCATTGGTCCTCCTTGCAGCCTCAACTTGACCTCGGACGGTTTAGGGTGGCACCATAGCTGGTACTGTGACTACGTTGAGGTCACGTCCACGGGACCTCAAACTGCTTGCACCCAAACTGTCTTCTTTATTGATCAGTGGCTAGCTGCTAATGTCCCGCCTTTTCAGTTAACGGCTTATCGTGATGGGTGCTATAGGCAGGGTGCGCATCTCAAGCACGGAAGACAAGGGCCTCTCGTTGTGGGAAATCCAATAGTTAATTGTTGAGAGAGCTTTTTGGGTTCAAAATGGTTGCTAATAATATGACAGCGAAATTTCAATGTGTTTGGATCTCTAATAGTTTCTTTTTTTTAGTATTTATATTATTTTTCTTTAAATAAAATTTTAGAAGATAAATATGGCTTTGATTATAGTTCAACAACTCGAAAGATTAAATCGATTTGAGTATTTAATTTTTGGTTAATTATTTTAAACAATTAATATATATATAATCAAAATATATTTTTAGGAATCTTCCTTGGCCTGTTAATCTACATTCCACCATTTATGTTTCATTGATTTCCGTATGTTGCATCGTAAGGTGACTTGAACTAATCAATGATCTTTTTTTATTTATTTATTATTGATATTCAAAAAAGTTTATCTACAAACCAGAACTCGGCTTCCTTTTCCTTTAAACAAGCTGCTTCATGCTTCCATGAAGACTTATCTTTCTAAATGATAGATTTTGTTAATTATTTGCCGTAAGTTTTATCAAATTGAGGTAAATTTTCCAAGATATGAGCATTTCTTTCAGTGATTTTAATCAACAACCAGGTACCACTGGAACATTTTAAGATGTTAAGTACTGCTGTTGAGCTATATAGGGAAAAAGATGAATATACTGCATTTATGCTAAATCTGTACGTTCCTACTACTTTTTTTCTCTCTTAACACATGTAGTTCTGCATGCTTAGTGCACTTATGTTAATCTTGCGATATGCGCAAGAACTCTAAACTGTCAAAAACATATCTTTGCGGCGGCATCTTGCGATCTGGAACACCCATTTCCATGTAACACGCTTGGAATAAGAAAACCCCCCACAGTGACCGCACTCGATTTTTAGACAAATGTGAACAAGAGTCTATTGAAGTTATGGCTATACCAGAATTATCCTTGTTAAATTTTCAAGGATCTTGTCCACATAGTGTAATTGTGTTAGAATAAGGCCTTCAGATGACTTTTTATTTTGGATGCCCAAAATCGTATCAGCCAATCTCACATCTTTCATGTAAAATCTCGAATTTAACATGTCCTTGATACGTTTTACCATTTCATTGTTAGTCCCAAAAATGAGTATGTCGTCAATATACAAGCATAGAATAACATATTATATGTTTGTAGTTTTGACATATACACACTTGTCACACTCATTTATCTTGAATTCGTTTGTTATCATGAAACTATCAAACTTCTCATGTCATTATTTTTGTGTTTGTTTAAGTTCATACAAAGACTTAACAAATTACATACTTCCCTTTCTTGACCTAGAACTACATGACCCTCATTTCGTTCCATGTAAATTTCTTCATCAAGGTCCCCATTTAGGAAAGTTGTTTTAATATCCATTTGATGTATTTATAGATTTCACAAAGTGGTTATTGTGAGTATCATCTTTACATATGTTATCCTTGATACAAGAGAGTATGTATCAAAGTAGTCAAGGCATTCCTTTTGTCGATATCCTTTTATTATCAATCTATCCTTGTACTTATCAATTGTTCCACCTACTTTCATTTTCCATTGAAAATCCATTTAGAATTTAGTGGTTTAATCCTCGGAGGAAGATCCATTAATTCCCATATATCTTTGCATGATGGAATCTATTTTGCTCTTAATGGCTTCCTTCCATAAGGTGCCTTCAAAAGATCGTATAACTTCACTATACATTTGAGGTTCAGCCTCCAACATAAAGGTTAGGTCTTGCCCAAAGGATTTTTCAACCCTTGCTCGTTCTCCTTCTTGGATCTATCTCAATTTCATCCTCTTGTTGATCATCTAAACTATCCTCATTATTAGCCTCTAAAGTTCATTTTATTGAACTTTACAAGGGAAAATGTTTTCAAAGAATGATGCATTCTTTTATTCCATTATCGTGTTATTGTGAATCTCATGATTCTTTAATTCATACACAAGAAATCGATGCACATTGATATGTTCTATATAGCCTATGAAAATACAATTCATGGTTTTAAGACCTATTTTCATTTGCTTTGGTAATGGGGTCATTACCTTGGCATGACACCCCCACATTTTTAAATGTTTGTAGGAATGTTTTCGACATTTCCATAATTCGTATGTGTCTTGTTTTTTTTCCTTTTGGGTACCTTATTTAAAAGGCATTTAGCTGAAAGGACAGCTTCCCCCACATGTTATGTGATAACTCATAATTGTCTAACAAGTCATTCATCATTTCTCTTTGAGTCTGATTTTTCTGCTTGGTCACTCCATTTATTTAGGAGAATATGTTGGTGTTACTTCATGAATAATATCATGTTTTGAACAAAATTCACAAAATGGTTCAACATATTCACCACCACGATCACTTCTTACCATCTTAATCTTTTTATTAAGTTGGTTTTCAACTTCCACTTATAGAGTATAAATTTCTCTCTAGCTTCATCTTTTGTTTTAAGCAAATATATATAGCAATACTTTGTGCTATCATCAATGAAGGTAAAAAAATATTTATTTCCTCTGCTCGTTTGAACAAATTTCAAGTCACAAACATCACTATGAATTAAATCAAGTGGTCTGATATTTCTTTCAACAGTTTGAAAAGATGACCTTGTTAATTTTGCCTCAACACATGTTTCACATTTATGATTATTATTAATATGAAACGAAGGGATAAATTCTAAGTTAATTAATCTTCGCAAAGCATCATAATTAATATGTCCAAGCCTACAATGCCATAAATTAAATGACTCAAGCATATAAATGGAAGAAGAAACATTTTTCTTATTCATGTTTTTTGCTTTTACAGACATAACATTCAGTTTCCACATATCATTCAATACATATCCTCTACCCACAAACATTTCCCCTTTAGACAAAATCAGCTTTTGGGATTCATAAACCATTCTATAGCTGTGAACACTTAGGAGTGTTCTAGAAACAAGGTTTTCCGTATGTCAGGTACATACAACACATTCTGCAGTTTGAGTTCTTTGTAAGAAGTCATCTTCAAGACTACAGTACCCTTCCCCTTGATTTCAGAAGTCACAATGTTTCCCATGTAGAGCTTCTCCTCATCATTCCAAGGTGTCAATTCAGAAAATGAATCCTTATCGCAACATATATGACGCATAGCTCCAATATCAAGCCATCATTCTCTTAGATTAGAGTCAAATAGATTAACTTTAGAGATCACAACACATAGATCTATATCCTCCACATCCTTAAATATTATTTCCATAGTATTAGCCTCGTGAGCTTTCGCTTTCTTTGGATGTCTACACTCAGAGGATTTGTGCCTCATCTTTCCACAGTTAAACAACTTCTCTTGGAATCTCTCCTTCTTGGAAATTCCACATTTAGGTCTAAGCTTTAACCTATTTTTGGGTTGTTTTCCCTTCTTGAAGTCATTGACTTCATCATGTTTGCCTTAGCCTCTTTATTGTTGAGCTTCTTGACAGTAATCATGTTGTCTTCTTCTATTTGAAGTTTGACAACCAGTTCTTCCATGGTCATTTCCTTCCTCTTGTCCTTTAGATAATTCCTGAAGTCACCTATCTAGGAGGTAGCTTCTCAATAACAATGGCTACCGAAAAGGTTTCTCCTATGACCATTCTTTCGGCAAGAATTCCATTGATCAATAGTTGGAATTCTTACACTTTTTTACTAATGGTTTAGAGTCAATCATAGTAAAATTCAAGAACTTGGCAACTAAAAACTTTTTAGCTCCAGCATCTTCAGCTTTTTACTTATGGTCCAATGCTTCCCACAATATCTTTAATGTTTTATAACCAGCATATATCGAATATAATGAATCTTGAAAACAATTCAGTATTATATTTCAACATATATAATCTAATTTCTTTCAAGCTTCAACAATGTTGAAAGCAATAACATTGTTCTCTCCATCTTTAAGAACATGAGGATCTTCCTTCATGAAACTTGAAAGGTTCCATGTGGTCAAATAGAAAGCCATCTTTTGTTGCCACATCTTGAAATTCTCTCTGCAAAATTTTGTCAGCTTTTCGCTGTGGTTGATTGCCACTGTCGATTGAATCGCATTCATATTTGGATTCTAAGCTGGTACTACCATCTTAGCATCCATGTTGGGTAAATCGGTAGAGTCTACTATCTCTATTTTCTGTATAAAAAATGGAACTGAAATTAGAAATAATTCCAATAAACAGAAAATTATTAATTCTTGATTATTTTAGATTTTGTTATCATACAATCAATATTATGAAACAAAATCAGTCACCATAGTTACTTTCACGAAAATTTATGTTACACAGATTTATCCACTTGAGATTCTAGTAAACCCGTTAAGACGATATGATAAATCCTGAAACAAATTGTTTACTAACTCGTTTTCCCACAGTTTCAAATTATCTCGGATCAAGAAAGGTAGAAGAGAAGAATATGTCTTAAGATTGTTGACCGACGTAACAATCCATGACTAAATTGGAACATGAGAAAAATTAAAAAGAATAAATCAAATATAAAATAAAAGAGAATTATAAACGGAAATAAAATACTCTTAATGTATTTGATCTTGTGATCAGAATAAGGTGAGGCATGTCGCTACATAGTTTCCTTAAGACATATTTTTTACCACTCCTTAGTGCTCGAGATCATTTGGTCGTCTATCTCCAAGGATACAATAACTTGATGATCAACTACAGTAGCACAATAGTAGAGATCACGAACTTTTCTTGCCTTTGACTATCATCGAAAAGCTAAGGGAGAAAAAGAATATTTTATGAGAATAAGAGAAGATATTTTTTCAAGAGAAAAAAAGCTTCTTGAATTTTGAGATGTGAAAAACCTAACAGGTTTGCTTAGTATTTATAGGGGATTTTCAAGAGTGTTTTACTCCAACTAAACATCTTTTAATATCTAAATTTAAACGTATAATAATATCTTTTAAATTTAAAATATTAAACAGATATACACTCATTTTATTATTCAAATTAAATAAATATTATTTTAATTTGAAATATACAAAGGTATATAATTATCTTTAATATTCAAAGTTAAAAAGATAATACATACTTTTTGAAATTGACATATTTAAAAATTAATTATCCTACTAATATTCAAATTAAATAATATATTTTAATTTAAAATATTAAAAGGACTCTAAATTTTACCATTTTATTCCAAAATTGAGCTATATAGGG